TGGATAAGGATGGCTTTGCACGGGTACCAGCTTCTGGGTGGGGATGGCTTTGCACCGGTACTGACTTCTGGATAAGGATGGCTTTGCACGGGTACCAACTTCTGGGTGGGGATGGCTTTGCACCGGTACCAACTTCTGGATAAGGATGGCTTTGCATAGGTACCAACTTCTGGATAAGGATGGCTTTGCATGGGTACCAACTTCTGGATAAGGATGGCTTTGCACTGGTACTGACTTCTGGTGGGGATGGCTTTGCACCAGTACCCACTGTCCCCTGGGACCTCGCTGCCTCCTTCCCCACGGCGAGCTGCCTCTGCCTGGTGGGGGGGGGACCCTGGGGACCCCCAGGAGGTCTCCCGAGCCTGTGTGCTCTGCTGAGCTGGGAGATGTGTAGGGGAGGGGAACCGGGGCTCCTGCCTGCAGCAGGAGGGCCAGGGAGCTCCTGGGTGGGGGGGCTATGTAGGGCAGGACCCTCACCTCAGCCTCCCGTCCCCGCTCCCCCCATCTCCCTCACTGGTTTCTCTGATGTTGCTATTTCAGGGCGAGCCCAGGGACTCCGGAGGGTGCAAAACCAAAGTCTGCCGGCATCACCGCAGCGCCGTGCCGCCGGCCAGCATCTCCCCCATCCCCGTGGGCTGACTTCCCGGCCAAGGCATTTTCCTCCTCATGGGGCCAAATCCCGCTAACCCCCTCCCTTCCCACTCCCCACAGGGCCGTGCCTGCGACCACTATGGCATCTACCACACCAGCCCCACGCTGGGCAGCCTGGCCAAGCCGGTGGTGCTGTGGACCCAGCAGGATGTGTGCAAATGGCTGAAGAAGCACTGCCCACATAACTATCTCATCTACGTTGAGGCGTTCTCCCACCACGCCATCACAGGTACCGTAGACACCCCCACTTAATGGCCGGTACTAATTGCCGTTGGCACGTGCTCCTGAGAAGGGGCTGTTTGGAGGTTGGTGATTCGGAAGACAGACGTACCCCCCATTTCTGTCCCCTCTCCCCACGGAGATGCAGCTGGGGTGACAGCCGCCAGCTGGGGTGACAGCCGCCCCATGGCACCGGGCATGGGGACACCCACCCGGGCTGGGCAGGAGGCATCCGCCACCAGGGTGAGCTCCAGGACAGGCTGGAGGTTGTTTAAAATCAGCATAAATTGCCCAGGGAAGATTGTGGCTTAGAAGATGGGGAAGCATCTTCTCCTCGCCTAGGTTAATATAATAAGAATATTTTTATAGTTTTCAAAATACTGAAAATCTTTGCAGAAGAGGAAAGATCTCCGCTCAGCTGGAGCCCACGTTGCAAATGCCTTCCTCCAGGTCTGAATCCAACTCCCAGCCAAGTCCTTGGAGGACACTTACCTCTAGGACCTGCTCCCTCCCCTGCGCCCCTCGGGGACCCTGGCTTTGACTCCTGTGCACGAGCATCATCCCGGTCTGACCGCGGCGCGTGCGTGGCCGGGCAGAGCTCTGCCAGGGCCAGGAGAAAGCAGCGGGGAAGGGAGCACTGGAGCTGCCTGCAAGGGATGCGAAGCCCTAATGCAAGAGCCCAGCCGGCCCTTGCATGGCAAACAAAGGCAGCATTAGCAAATGTACGCCGGGAAACAAGGACAAAAGCGGGTTGTAAATCCCTCGTCTAATAGCCCCCGGACTGGAGGAGAGTGGCTCGCCGGCGCTGGTGGCAGCGACGCTAATGCGTTTTGATGGGTACCCCTGCTCCCCCGGGACGGCCAGCCCGCGCGGGGACCGTGTGCTCGAAAAAACATCCCTGATGCGGGAGGTGGAGCGGAGAAATGGAAAGCTCCTGCCTGCGGGGATGGGTTACGTGATTGCTGAAGCCAGTACCTGTCCCGAGGCTGGGGGCCCAGTACCTGTCCCGAGGCTGGGGACCTCGAGCTGCCACCCAAAAGCGGGGCCAGCTGCGAGGCTTCTCCATCCCTGTGGGTCCAGGTGGTGAAAGAACATTTTAGGATTTTCTTCCCTTTCCCTTCCTTGTTCCCACGTGAACACGGGTTCCCATCGAGTTGCACTTTTCCGGTGTCCCCGCCGCGGCGCTGAGCGACACCGTGTTTGCAGGTCGGGCGCTGCTGCGGCTGAACGGGGAGAAGCTGCAGCGCATGGGCATCGCTCACGAGGCGCAGCGGCAGGAGGTCCTGCAGCAGGTCCTGCAGCTCCAGGTGCGCGAGGAGGTCCGAAACCTGCAGCTGCTCAGCCAAGGTAGGGCCAGCAGGAGGCCGAGCGCAGAGAGAGGCCACGAAGGCCAACCCTGGGGAGGCTGCGTCCCTCCTGCAGCCGTCTGGACAGGAGGAGCAGCGGCTGGGGGGCTGCCAAAGCCAGAGGCACCCACCTGCGTGTCGCTGATGCAAATGCAACCCACACTGTGGCTGGGATGGGGTGTGGAGCGCAGGTCGTGGTGCACAGGTTGTGGTGCACGGGTTGCAGTGCACGGGGCCAGGTTGCAGCGCACAAGTTATGGTGCACAGGGCCAGGTTGCAGTGCACAAGTTGCAGCGCGCAGGTTGCAGTGCACAGGGCCGGGCTGCAGTGCACAGG